GAGCCCCAGGCAGCGCCTCTTAAAGGGCCCGCGCACAGACTTACTCAGACTTACTCCCTCTGAACTTGGAGGGGAAGCAGCTTGAGGGGCAACAGAGACATACAGGGAAGAACTGAGCTGTTTGGTCTTGGGAAGAAAACTGGAGGGGCAGCTTTCTTCTAGACAGATATGCTGTCAGAGGCCTTTGTTCCTTTGGTGAGCCCTTCCCTGGGGCGGCAGACAGCTGCCATATCTGGGACTCCAGCAACCTGGCTCACACTGTTTGCCTTGCCCTGGTGATTCCCTGAGGCTCTGCCCCACCCAACTTTCTGGCCCACCCAAGCTGTTTCCAAAGGCTTTACCATAGGATTGGCCTGTCTTGCATCCTGCTTCAGAGTTTCCTAAAGTCTTTCAAATAAGCAGCATCTGGTATCAGCAAACCCCATACCTCTCGTTAAGTGGCCCCAGGCCTGGCACTAGAAGCAGCCAGCCTTGGTTCACAAATTGGCTTAAGCCTGGTGGCCTGGGATAGAACACAGGCAGTGGCTGACCTTGCCCCAGAGCAAGCACCCAGTGAACAGTTCCAGACCACATTGAAACACCACCACCCAACCACCTCCACAAGTGACACACTCAACGAGTGGACTCAGTGGGTACCAAAGCCCTGATGAAGTAAATCTTGCTCTATGGGATGGGCCCCTACACAGCTGATCCTCCAAGGTAGTCAGAGACCGGAGGTCAGTGGGCACAGCTAGTCCTTGCAGCTGATCAGCTTGAGTAAATCCTTCCCATTGACTTGCCAACAGTAATCAAGACTCAATTACAACAGAAGGGTGTACAGTCCACACTAGGGATGCACCTCGAGGGCCCAGCTGGGAGACTGTGCCACTGGATCCTACAGGACACCTACAACAATAGGCCACACTATGAAGCCTAGGAGACATAGCAACTCTACCTAATACATAGAAACAATTACAGGGAAGCAGCCAAAATGAGGGGACAAAGAAACAGGTCCCAAATGAAAGAAAAGAACAAAACTACAGGAAAAGGATTTTTAAAAAAATGGAGATAAGCAATCAATCAGATGCAGAGTTCAGAAAACAGGTTATAAGTTTGCTCAAGGAACTTGGTGAGACACTCAAGGAACTTAAGGAGACCTCCAAGGAACTTAGTGAGAACATCGACAACATAAAAAAGGACCAGTCAGAAATGAAGGACACTAACTGAAATAAAAAATAATTTAGCCCTGGCCGGTTTGGCTCAGCGGTTGGAGCGTCGGCCTGCGGTCCGGAGAGACCCGGGTTCGGTTCCCGCTAAGGGCATGTACCTCGGTTGCGGTTTGTCCCCGGCCCTGGTTGGTCGTGCGGGTGGCAGCCACTCGATGTGTCCCTTCACATTGATGTTTCTCTCTCTCTCTCCCTTCCCCTCTCTCCCTCCCACTCTATCTGTACAAAAAATGGAAAAATATCCTTGGGTGAGGATAAAAAAATAAAAATAAAAAAAAAAAAATAATTTACAGGGAATCAATAGTAGATTAAGTAAAGCCAAGGAAAAAAACATAGATTTGGAATATAAGGAAGCAAAAAACACCCAATTAGAACAGCAAAAAGAAAAAATAATTTTAAAAAATGAGGACAGTGTAAGGAGCCTCTGGGACAACGTCAAGCATGCCAACATTCCCATCATAGGGGTGCCAGAAGGAGAAGAGAGAGAATAAGAAATTGAAACCCTATTTGAAACAATAATGACAGAAAACGTCCCTAACTTGGTGAAGGAAACAGACATACAAGTCCAGGAAGCACAGAGAGTCCCAAACAAGATGAACCCAAAGAGGACCACACCAAGACACATCATCGTCAAAATGCCAAAGGTTAAATACGAAGAGAAAATCTTAAAAGCAGCAAGAGAAAAGCAGTCTGTAACCTACAAAGGAGCTCCCATAAGACTGTCAGCTGATTTCTCAAAAGAAACTCTGCAAGCCAGAAAGGAGTGGCAAGAGCTATTCAAGGTGATGAAAAGCAATGATCTACAACCAAGACTACTCTATCCTGCAAAGCTATCATTTAGAATCGACGGACATATCAAGAGTTTCCCAGACAAGAAAAAGCTAGAGTTCATCACCACCAAATCAGTATTATATGAAATGTTGAAGGGTCTTCTTGAAGGAGAACAACAAAAATATGAACAATAAAAGGGCAATTAAAACATATCTATCAACAATTGAATTTACAAACAAAATGAGCATGCAGAACAGAAACAGACTCATAGATACTGAGAACTTTTTGTTGCTTGCCAGATGTGTGGGGGCTGGGGATTGGGTGAAAAAGATGAACGAATTAAGAAGTACAAATTGGTTGTTAGACTGATGAACCTCAAAGGGAAGGGGGGAGGGAGGGTGAGATGAGATAAACCAAAGAACTTCTGTGCATATATGCATAAACAATGGACACTGACAATAGTGTGGGGAAGGCTGGAGGGGGCGGAATTAGGGATGAGGGGGTTAACAGAGGAAAAAGGGGGGCATCTGTAATACATTCAACAAAAAAGATGAGTTAAAAAAAAATAATAATAATAAAATAAAACTGACTATACAGTCCGGCCAGTGTGGCTTAGTGGTTGAGCATTGACCCATACACCAAGAGATTGCCAGTTTGATTCCTGATCAGGACACATGCCCAGGTTGTGGCCCCAATCCCCAGTGGGGGCGTGCAGGAGGCAGCCAATAGATGTTATCTCTCATCAATATTTCTCTCTCTCTCTCCCTCTCACTTTCTCTCTCTAAAAATCCAAAAAGGAAGTAAATAAATAGATAAATAAAACAAAACTGACTATACATTTCCTGGTGAACAGGAGAAAAAAAGAAAAATTTCAATTTTTAAGAAAGGGGTGTTTTTTTGTTTTTTAGGATTACATGTTTATAGATTTTCAATCACTTGACTTTTTTGTATTTTAGAATTTTATACACTGCAAAGCTGTTTTTGGGGAGAAGTCTCTTTGTTTTGATTTTTTAAAAGTAGTTGTAGTGCCCTGGCCAGTTTGGCTCAGCGGTTAGAGCGTCGGCCTGCGGTCCTGAGAGACCCGGGTTCGGTTCCCGCTAGGGCATGTACTTCGGTTGCAGTTTGTCCCCGGCCCTGGTTGGTCGTGCGGGTGGCAGCCACTCGATGTGTCCCTTCACGTCGATGTTTCGCACTCTCTCTCCCTTCCTCTCTCTCCCTCCCACTCTATCTGTACAAAAAATGGAAAAATATCCTTGGGTGAGTATAAAAAAAACAACAACAACAAAAAAATAAAAATAAAAGTAGTTGTAGTTCAACTTACCTTTTTCAAGCAATAAATCTGACTTCTTGCAACAACTGATATATTGGGAGGCCTCATGAAGCCTAAGGTTTTCATAAATTACACCTGATTCACCAGTCAGGATAAATACCTTTAAACTCTAACTGAACACGCCCTGGCCGGTTTGGCTCAGTGGTTAGAGCGTCGGCCTGCGGTCCGGAGAGACCCGGGTTGGGTTCCCGCTAAGGGCACGTACCTTGGTTGCAGTTTGTCCCCGGCCCTGGTTGGGTCGTGTGGGTGGCAACCACTCGATGTGTCGCTTTCACGTCGATGTTTCTCTCTCTCTCTCTCTCCCTCCTACTCTATCTGAACAAAATATCGAAAAATGTCCTCGGGTGAGGATAAAACAAATAAAAAAATAAAAATAAACTCTAACTGAACAATCAACGTCAATGTCAGCTAATACCCAACAGCAAATACTTGATTTCTGGGTCTCACAGCACTTTTCACTATTTCTACAATAGTACTGGTCTCCGATCTCCCCGGGCCAAAAAAGGTCGAGATCACTGGTTCTTTTTTGAATATTTGCATTTCATAATCTTACGTATTCATTCATGCCATTTGTAGCCTTGAACCCTATTGATTCTTACCTATATCATCTTATTTATTTTTCATGGCCATCATGGAGGTTGCTGGTCTTCACTCCACACACACTGACTTCTGGGTTTGCATTTGGAACCTCTATGCTTTTCTGCCTCCATAACTATTTTCTTTATTGATGCAAGAAAATAAAGTGAGGGGGGAAAAGAAAATGCAAGCAAAATTGCTGACACTACAATACCAGCATAAAAGGAAGTGTGTCTGTGTTTTCTAACTCAAAACAGCTTAGCACTTTGAATGTGTTATCACTCTAAAATCACCATTAGAGAAGAACTGGTGGATCTGGCAGGTAGTAAGTGCTTGGTGTGAATAAAGGGGTGGCTGAGTAAACAGCCAAGGTGAATTGCAAGCGGCAGGAATGAGTCTGAGAAACCTGAGAATTCAACGTGGCCGTCAGACATGGTTCAAACCTCCCAGGGCCTACGCGTGCTTGCTGCTGGGAAACAGAGTAAACCAGCTGCCTAGTTTTGAAGGGAGCAGGTTGTGCAAAGGCACCAGGAGCTTCTGCTGATTACACACTCCAAAAGTCTGGAGAGGAAGCAGGTGAACCCAGCCGCAAAGAGCTGGGCTCTCGTTTCCTCTGGCTCTAAGCACCTCAGTTAACTTACAGTAGGGATCTTGCTATTTCAACTTCCTTCTGTGATGATCCCAAGATATAATGGGTATAGTAAGTGCTTTCTATAAACCAAAAAGTGTTTGAACAAGATGGGGGAGGCAGCAATCCGGACAAGGTGTGTCCAAGGTAAACCTTCCAGGGGAACACTTTTTAAACCTGAACGTGCATTGGGTTTTTTGGGGGGGATGTTGGTAAAATGCAGATCCTCATTCATGTGTCTGCAGTGGGGTGAGACTGGTGACGCTAACAAGCTCTCGGGGAATGCTGCTGCTGCTGATCTGAGTTCCACATTGGGAGAAGCAAGTCTAGAAGGGCCAACCAAATCTGTGTCTGTGGGAGACACGTGGAGGGAGGGAGGAGAAATGGGGAGACTGGGAGGAAGGACGGAGGAAGCTGAGGAGAGCGAGGGGGCGAGGAGGAGAGGATGGTAGTAAGAAGGGGGAGGCTTTGGGCTTAAGCGAGGATGCGCAGACCGAGGCCGGGAGGCGGCGGGTGCAGGTGGCTCCGCGGCTGCGCGCTGCGGGCGGGGACGGGTCGGCGAGTGCGGGCGGCGGTGGAGGCGGCGAAGTCCCGGCTCGGCGCCCGCGGCGCCCCCGCTGCGGCCGGAGCGGCCTGGCTGTGGGATCGCTGCGCAGCGATGGAGCGGCCGCCCCGGCAGAGCCCGATGGTGTGGCTGCCGCTGCTCTTGCTGCTGCTGGCCGGGCCCGTCGCCTGCGCCGCCAGCCCCGCGGACGACAGCGCGGGCCCGGGCGGCCGGGGGCCCCGGGGCCGCGCGCGGGGGGACGCGGGCCCCGACGAGGCAGCGCCACGCCACGACTCCTCCTACGGCACCTTCGCCGGGGAGTTCTACGACCTGCGCTACCTGTCGGAGGATGGTGAGGCTGCGAGAGGGCGAGGGTTTGCGGGAGGGGAGACCCCGATGGGGGGCGGGGGCGGGAGCAAGAGTGGGGAATTGGTAAGCATGCGAATGGAGGCCCAGACAGAGCTCAGGGCTCAGACCCCCACCCACCTGGCGAAGGGGCCCGAAGAGCTGTCAGGGCCATCCACCTGCTGTCCGTTTTACAGGTGGGGAGACTGAGGCAGGGAGAGGGAGGTGGTCAGCCAAGTCCTACGAAGCTGCAGACAGGTGTGGCTCCCCCAGTTTTCAGCATCTGGCCTCCACCCTCTCTGTCAGGGATTGGGGTATGGGGTGTTAGGGGAGGAGGCGTGTGAGGTGAGAGCAGCCAGTGGAAAGCAGAAATTCCGACTGAAAGAGAGATGTTGCCTTATTACCTCCCAGTGTGTGTTGACCTAGATTTGCAATGGCAAGCACTCTAACCTCATAGCCTTCTCTGTTCATCCTCACTGCCTGGCCACCAGAGCTGGGTCACATCTCCTTCCCTGCCTCCATCCCACTTCTTTTCTACCATGAACGTTATGGTCCCCTAGTGTGAGCCACCACTGTTGGGGCCTGCTGGGTCCAGAGAATGGGGGTTTGTCAGCCACAGACTTCCCCGTGGAGATGTTTCTGTGAGCACAAAGCTAAGCTGATTCTGCTCGGAAGGAGTGGAAACTGGCCTCTTTCTTTTCTGCAATTTGGAAAGTAGAGACTTTCCTTTTCTTCTCCTAAGAGGAATAGCAAGCAAAAAAATAAAAAGAAATTCAGTTTGAAATGTGTGTCTCAGCAACTAATATACTGGGTGTATCTGTTACTTAGGATTAGGTTTAGCTATCTACAACATTAATAGCTTAAAATAGAAGTTTCTCTGTCATGTAAAGAAATCTAGAAGTAGGCAGTCCAGAACTGGTTACCAGAGACACTAGACCCTGGTCTTCTGTTTCGTCAAAATTCTTAACATGTAACTTCATGGCCCAAAATGGCTGCTTGATCTCCAGGCATGACATTCACTTTCCAGACAATAGGAAAAGGAAGAGGGAAGAAGGTCACTGACTATAAGGAGATTACTCAGAAATCCCATATAACAATCCTATTTACACTTCATTAGCCACAACTTAGTCATGTGGTCACTTACACATGCAAAGGAGGCTGGGAAATGTAGCCTTTTAGCTGGGAAATAATAAGCTCAATTCAAAATTTGGGATTTTTGTATTAAGGAAGATGGAGAGAATGGATGTGGGAAAATATATTAGTTGGGTAGAGGTTTAACTGCTAAAACAGAGTCCTCATTATACAGTGACTTAAATAAGAGCCCTTGGTTTTCTCTCACATGAGTCTGGCTGGTCTGGGCTGGTGAGACAGCTCTGATCCACAAGGTCATTCAGGGACCTAGGTTCCTTCCATCTTATTGCTTCATCATCTTCTAAAACTTTGTCCTTATCTGTGGAATTTGAGTTGCTCACATGTTCTTGTTCAAGCTTGAGGAAAGGAAGTTCAGGATAAACAGTTTCCTTTTAGGCTGGTTGCACAGATCACTACTGCTCAAATTCTTTTGGCAAGAATGTAGTTATATGACCTAGCTGCAAGGAAGGCTGGGAAATGTAGTCTTTTACTTGGACAGCCATGTGGCCAGAGAGGAGAAAATGGGGGTGGGATGGGGTGGGGAGGAGGAAAACAAGCAGAAGTAGAATCTATTGCTCTGGAGAAGAATAAGTATTCCAAAACCCATCTGCTTCTGAAAGCATCTAATACATATTTATTCTGTTCATAGTCAGTCTAGCACATTGCCAGGTAACTCAGACTTGGCACATGAGGGCTTATATTCTCATTGGGCACATGGACAGAACAAATGAAGAACAAGGTCAGATAAAAATAATCTATGTCTTTAAAGGTAAACAATCTACATCTCATTTATCTTTGCATCCCCCATGAATTTAGCCCAATAATAACACTAACTGGAGCTAATTGTTAGTAAGTGCTTACTACGGGCCAGGCACTGTTCTAAGTACCTTATACATATTAACTTTAATCTTTATAGCAATATAGATACTACTATTTCCTCCACATTAGAGTTAAGAAAACTGACCCACAGAAAATTTAAATATCGTAGCTAAAGTCACACAGCCAGAAAGTAGCAGAGAGCTATATGGGTTTGTTGACTGACTGTATAGAAAAGGTGTGCAAGCTGTCCAGCCTGCCTGGAATGGAGAGTACCTGGTAACACGTGCTAGGAAATGCAGTGGGACCAGCGCAGTGGGGTATTTTTATGAGTGAACTTGAGAAGAGGGGTTTGGAATGATCAGGTAGGCGGTGGAGAATCACAGGTTGCTGAGGATGGAGTGCCATGGCGAAAGCTTTGCCAAACAGGCTCCGCATGTGTGTGGAGCTTTCTATTTTCCAAAGTCCCAGGACATCTGCACTTCATTATATGACTCTGCTGAGCAGAAGCAACGGCTCAGGCAGTCCATAAAGAGAAAGAGGCTGATGCAGTAGCTCTCAGGGATTTGAACAGACAATTTCTGGTTAAAATACCAAGGGCTCAAGTACTAAATTAATACCTGAAGACTGTGATCCAAGCAGTTAATTAGAGGCAATAAATAGCAAACCAGAAGCCATTAACCACCCAGTGGAGTATAGCAAAACAGACTCAAGGGATCGCAAAAAAGGAACAGATAGTGTCTGTGAATAAGACAAGAATGGAAACCACAAAACCATATTGAGAACCCGAAAAAAAATCAACCACGAAAGTCAGAACCTCTTGTGTTATAGGAATATCTGAAGGGAGGAAAGGTGGCTTAATTGTTCTCTACAACAGAATAGTTTTTGGAAGGGTTTACAGGGCACATGTGAGAAGAAGAAGAGAGAAGGAAGAAGGAAAAAAAATGTTTTGCCCTAAGTCAGTATTATTTGGTCTCAACCCACGTTTTTATTTTAGAGAGAGAGAGAAAAACAAAACAAAACACCAAAATGGAGGGAAAGGAACACGCAAAAGCAAACAGACAAAACCAAAAACCAGTAATGAAGAATGGGGGATGGACAAAGTAAGGGGAGAAGGAGGAGCTGGTGATGTCTGGGTTCTAATCCATACATCTCAAGACCAAGGAAGACAAGTAAGTGTAGGAAAGAGAGAATGGTGGTGGCGGGGGGAGGCCAGTAAAGGTCTTTAAAAGGTGTTGTGGCAAGATCAGATTCCCGGCTGACAAAGATGGCACCTGGTAGAAGTAGGAGGGATATGGGGGATGGGAGATGGTACTGTAGCAAAAGGGCAGGCTTAGGTTTCTAAGGTGAGGATAAAGGGAATGATGGATGAGTAAATATACCAGGTGCGGAAACGTAGGACTGTGGTTTCAGGGTTGGGAGACTGTGGGTGACGGGCAACATTCTTCCCTGTGATAGAAAACCTAGGAGGAAGAGCCTTTGGGAGGCGAGGGAGCTCAGTGTTGGACATACGGAGTTGATGTGTTTGTGGAATATCCAGGTAGAAGCCCCTTGTCTGAGGGTGGGACAAAGGTGTCATGGCCACCCTAATGAGACCAGCAGGCAAAGCAGGCAACTCCATAGAATATAACAGAATTTATTATAGGGTAATTTCCTTCCGGGAAGATTGGGCTGGGGGATCCAGCATTTTACAAATTATTCTTTGCTACCTGTTACAGTACTTTCATTATAGGATAACTCAGGTACTAATGATTGACAAAGACAAAGGGACAAAAATGCAATAGCTCCAGGGTCATACCTGCTGGTGGTCTTGTGATAGGTGATTGCTTATAATCAATACTATTACCAGTTGGATATTTGTCTCTGTTGTCATGCCATTACAGCTGTTACTAACAAAAACATTTATGGCTACATTTTAAGGAACACAGATAACCATCAACTAGAAGGCTTTGATATGCTTGCTAAGGACAGTGAGGTTGGTCGAAGGTCGCAGCATGAAATTTTAAAATGAAATGAAATCTGGAACACAGAGATGGAGTTGGTTTTGTTCACATCGACATCCATGCAGCCTGGAGGCAGTTGATTGTTGGGCTTAAATGCTGATATAAGAAAAGGAGAATTGCGGTCAAGATGGCGGCGTAGGGAAATGCAGTATCGCGTTCTGCCACAACCACATCCAAGTTACAACAAAACTACAGAACAACCATCATCCAAAACCGCCTGAAATCAAGCTGAATGGAAGTCCTACAAACTACGTAATTAAAAAAAAAAAAGCAGCTACATCCAGACCGGTAGGAGGGGCGGCGGCGCGAGGGGTGGCGGCAGCGGCAGCGGCGCGGCGGCGCGACAGGCTGGTCCCACACCCAAGTGTGGCGGATAAAAATCAGGAGGCTCCCGTGGCTGGGAAGGTCCTTCCTGAGGACCGAGGGGTCCCCGTCCCACACCAGGTGCCCCGCTCAGGTTTCCAGTGCCAGGAAGAGAAGTCCCCATAACTTCTGGCTGGAAAACCAGCAGAAACTGAGGCTCAGGGAGGCTGAGGCGGCTGGAGCCCCAGGCAGCTCCCTAAAGGGCCCGCGCACGGACTTATCGGACTCTCTCCCTCTAAGCTCGGAGGGGAGGCAGCTCGAGGGGCACCAGAGACATACAGAAAAGAACTGAGCTGTTTGGCACTGGAGCGAGGGCTGGAGAGGGGGCTTTCTCGGGGACAAACGTGCTGTAAGAGGCCTTTGTTCCTTTGGTGAGCCCTTCCCTGGAGCGGCAGACAGAAGCCATATCTGGGACTCCAGCAACCTGGCTCACACTGGTAGCCCCGCCCTGCTGACTCCCTGAGGCCCCGCCCCGCCCCGCCCCACACAACTTTCAAGCCCACCCAAGCTGTTGCTACTTGCTTAACCATAGGATTGGCCTGTCTTGGATCCTGCTTCAGGTTTTTCCTAAATTCTTTCAAACAAGCAGCATCGGGTCTCAGCGAGCCCCATACCTCTCATTAAGTAATACACAGAAACAAACACAGAGAGGAAGCCAAAATGAGGAGACAAAGAAACAGGTCCCAAATGAAAG